CGCCCCGCGGTCCCGCAGGCCACGATGGAGCCCACGGCCTCGCAGGTGTTCTGCGGGAGGGTGCTGGGCATGGTCAACGCCGAGGACGTCAACGCCATCATCCTGGCCCAGAAAAACATGTGAGTCCCGGGGAAAGCGGGCGGTGGGAAACCCGGTACCGGCACCGGGAGCCTCCCGGGATCTTTGCCGAGCTCCCTCTGCCTCCCCCGCGCAGGTTGGATCGCTTTGAGAAGACCAACGAGATGCTGCTCAACTTCAACAACCTGTCCAGCGTCCGCATGCAGCAGATGAACGAGCGCTTCCTGCACCACACCAGGACCCTGGTGGAGATGAAGAAGGACCTGGACAGCATCTTCAGGAGGATCCGGTGGGAACGGGCAGGGAACGGGCAGGGACACGGCCTGGGGGGGCTGGCTGGGGTGTGGGGGTGTTAAAACGGCACAATTTGGAGTTTGGGGGGCTGTGAGAAGGAAAATCCGTGATTAGTGACGCGTGCAGGGAGTGGAGGCTGGAGCTGTGGGTTCCCGTGATCCTGCTCTGGATGGGCTGCGCTGCCTCGGGAGCATGTGGTCACAAAATCTGGGGTTCAGGAACCCCCTGTGGGCTGGGAAGTGTGGGATGGTCACGAAATGTGGGGTTCAGGAACCCCCCGTGGGCTGGGAAGGGTGGGATGGGCTGCTCCAGGGGCCTGGGGAGGGAATCCCTCGGGATTTCTATGTGTTGTCTGCTGGAGGCTCAGCTCCAGATCCCTTGGCTCCCCACGGACTCGGGTTGTTCTCTCCTCCCCAGGACGCTCAAAGGGAAGCTGGCAAAGCAGTACCCGGAGGCTTTCAGCAGTGAGTGATTCCTGACACGCGGATTCACCGACTCGTGCAATGCTTTGCGTTGGAAGGGACCTTAAATCCCACCCAGTTCCACCCCTGCCGTGGCAGGGACACTGCCACTGTCCCAGGAGCTCCCAGCCCCGTCCAGCCTGGCCTTGGGCACTGCCAGGGGTCCAGGGACAGCCACAGCTGCTCTGGGCACCCTGTGCCAGGGTCTCACCCCTTCCCAGGGAACAATTCCTTCCCCAAATCCCATCTATCCCTGCCCTTTGGCAGTGGGAGCCATTCCCAGCAGTGTCCTGGTGCTCCACGCTCAGTTTTCCTCCTGTGGGAAGAGAGAACACGTGAGGCATCTCTCAGGAATCAGGAGAAGTCCATCTGCTGGCCCATGGCTGCTTCCCTAAAAGTCCAGAAAACTCCTTAATTCCGTTAAATCCAAGAAATTGCAAACAACCACTCGTTTACACGCTGGTGATTTAGGGAGGATATTTTTTTTAATCTACAAGCAGAATCAGGGAATTTCTCTCCCGTTATCCCACCACAAACCTAACGCCTCCCTCTCCCCTCCCAGACATCCACGAATCCCCCATCCTGGAGGACGACGACGACTTCGACCCCGTCCCCAAGAGCACCACAACCACCATCGCTACCTCTGAGCAGAGCACCGAGTCCTGCGACACCAGCCCCGACATCATCTCCCCCACCACCAGCCAGGATTTCGAGGATTTATCCCAAGGCCAGTACGACGGCCCGGCCGTGAACGGACAGAGTCTGACAGATGAGGACACGGCCAACGGCCTGGACTAGGAGCCACGTTCTGGAGGACTTTCTATCCTGTATTTATATTTGTGTGTCGCTCTTATAATTTTTTTTTTTTCTCTTTTTTTTTTATTTTTATTTTTCTTGGGAAGAGGGAAGCGAAGGCTGGGAGAAGCTGAGGGAGGAAGGTGCTGTCCTTCTGCCTCCAAACTGCCAGCGAGGTGTAAAACCTGCCTCTTGCTTCAGGGGGAATCAGTAAATCCTGGCTTGGAAACGCCTCTTGTCCTCGTTCCTGCGCTCAGGAGAGCGGCTAAACTTCACCGTCCCTGTAGATTTTTTGGTGCAGAAAAGCCATTTTTGGGGCAGAGGTGTTTGTTTTGTAAGGAATGTTGTCTCTGAGGCTCTGTGTGCCCACCAGCTCTGTCCCTGCTGCTGATGGACTCGTGCTGGCTGAGTTTTCCACCACTGGGATGAGGCAGAGCCGTGTTTCCCTTTGGTTCTCACACCCAGCCCCTCCCGTGGTGCTGCTGGTTGTTCCACAGGCAGGAACAGGAGCTCTCCAGATCTTCTTTTTCCACCAGCATTGTGGAGGAACTGCTTGGCTTTGGGGTCCTGCCGGCCTGGGAGGGGATGGGAGCGGGGGGCTGGGGTTTGGGGCTGATCCTGGAGCTGTGGGGTCTGTCATGGATGGGATTGTGGAGTCAGCACATGGGGATGGTTCTGGGGCTGTGGGGCCGGGCTGGGGTCCGTGGGGTCGGTGTGGGGTCGGTCCTGTGGCTGTGGGGTCGGTTCCGTGGCTCTGGGGTCGGTGTG